GTTCTACTAATATTCACATTAATACGTGAGTCATGAGTGAAAAAAATAAAACAATTTACAATCTTTAAATTCTCAATAATTTCTGGTTGCACTGCATCTATACTGTCAAAACGTCACTATTGCACAATAAAGAAGTTGATCATCCATGAAGACTTGTCATTCGTATTTTGTAACATAACTTCAATTATATTTAGTAGCAAACATGGAAGCCAGCCTCGTCACACATGTGGCAGGTTCATAACGAATTAATTAACTGTACTGAAAAACGTATAGATGGTCTCAATATTGGGTCACCATCTACACCTTATGGCTATAGGTCAGTCAGCAGTTCCACAAACATGGACATCCTTCAATCAGTTCACGACTTCATCTTTAAAAGAAATTTTTTTTAGTAATTTTAAATTCACGTAGAACGGATAACTGCATTATCATATTTTTCCACAGGCACCACTCGCTCCATAATACTGGCTTTATATATTCTGTTTGTGCAATTGTACATTATGTTTGTAAAACGTATTACCAGCTGTGTCAACCCATTACCTGGAGAGGTATTTACATAAGCAAGTTTTGCTTTTCTATCGATCCAGATTTCTTTTGAAATAAAATATGTTTAAACCAATACTGTGGGCAACTTGTACACCGTCTATAACTGACTATAACATCGTGTTTTTATTGTCCACCATTTCTCTGTATTGTACGTGATTGAATGCCGTGGCCGCCACGCCTCTAGATCTAACAGCTGTCAGCACGTGATTTAAGTCAGCGTGAAGCCCAATCCTGTTGAAATAAATGGAATTACGGTATATGAAAATTTATTACCCTTAAGATAACTTTGTCGAATTCTGATTGGTCAATAGCCAAAGCATACCAAACCCCGTAGGCAGCTTTGCTACACCCCGTACGAATGACTTTGACCTTAGATGAAATGTGGCTGCCAAACGACTGATCGTTTCGACATTTTAGTGTTGGCGTATACAATTATGTGTATAAACAGAGTAATAAAATTGTTGCCATAATTTCTTATTTGTTTGTGTCAATAAATATATCGACAAACTAAAATGTTTCTGTATTTCACTTGTCGTTTAACAAAACCTCAAATAAGATATTAAAACCGTATTTGTGACAGCAGCGTCAAGAAACCTGAAAATGATAACATTCGATTGTTGTCTAGTCATCCATCTCAGCAGGACGAAACATGATGGACCTTTAACTGTAATATGACACGAGCAGAACACAGACGTGCTCAGAGATCCATGTCCCACTGTTCACCTGAAGACAAACAAGTCTGTTATATTCCCTGTAATGGTCGGTTTCAGAACGACAGATGCTTTTCAACAACAACCCTTCATGCCCGAGGACAGGAGTGGCCCTGTCGCCTCAGTTCGCGCTATAGAGTTGCGTCCCTTACCCCTGAAAGAAACCTAGACAGTGAGTTAGTAAAATATGGTTATACGCCGCTTTTAGCAATATTCCAGCAACGTCAGGGCAGGGGACATCAGAAATGGCCTTCACACATTGTGCCCATTTTGGGAATCGAACCCGGCCTTCGGCGTTTGGAGTGAACGCTTTAAACACTAGTCTGCTCCACCGCCCCTACAGATAAGTATAAACTTGGATTCGAGTCCCTCACAATTTCTGGATCACCAACTTACCGTGCTCTTCCGTTGCACAAAACGTCTTAGGTTCTGTACCATTTAGAGATTTCCCCCTTCCCCTTCCAAATAATGTTTATACGCCCTGACATGACTGGCCTGCTGTTGAGCACTGCTTTAACCTACACGTGATCTCCGTAGCTCAATGGGTAGAGCTTCAGTCTGAGAGCGGAAGGTGGTCCCTCCACACCTGGCCCGGACCTCGGCATTGAGGGAATAAAGCAAGACCTGGACGGTTGACAGGGTCTCCAGCTTACATGACACTGTAGCACGGAATCGGTATGTACGGACTGAGTATTCCAGTAGCATGTAGATGTACACCTGCATGGTGGTGTCTCAGTGGTATGGCATGGTCATAACAGCAGTCGCTTTATAAGTGAAATTACCCTTGACAATAATCCCATTTCGCCTCACATCCACCTGTTCAAACCAGGCATGCCGGTGGAGGAAATGTGTTCTTTTACGTCCGCATCAGTCACTCGTATGGGCAACAATACCCCCGCCATTAACACGTCAACGTTGTCGTGGTACAGACTAAATTATATATATATATTTGTGCGTGTGTGGGCTTACATATCTACGGCCGAAATTGTGAAAATGTACTGATCGCATAAATTCGGCCAGGTAAAGAGCCAGACGACCTATGAGACGTCCGCTCGGGACGAGCTTGGTGTCAAGGTCGTCGTCAGTGGAGTTTGAGGTCACGGGAAAAGGTGAACTGCTTGGACGAAAGTGCATTTCTTTTGCTCATGTGTGATGCCCGAGCTCATGTTTACCTCACAGAAACACGGCATGTGTACAACGGAATATCTTGGATTAAGTACCGTTAGGCGGGGGTTCATTGATGGTGTGGGGTGCTTCTCACATGACTGAAAACCTGACCTTGTGATGATCAGACAAACTATGCATGAATAACGATACGCCACGGACAGCCAAGACATGCCCCGAACACAATGCAAGACTTCAAGGACGACATTGCGAAACCGCATCGTGCACGTGCCGTTGGTGATTTGTTACGTCAAGAGGCAATAACCATTCCACCTTAGCCCACCAGGAGTCCAGATATCAATCCCATAGAACATTGAGACATTATGGGCCTCAGAATACACCAGAGACCAGAGACATCGAGTACAAACTCTTGTTGTACTGGGAAAAGCCCTCGATCAAATATGGAACGCAATACCTGGTAGAGTCAATGAAGATGGTCGGGGCTGTTACTGCAGTTGTCGGAGGTTAATCCAGATACAGGCATTGTGCTCGGTTCTTGATACTAATGTGATTTCCTATGCCAGAACCTTTAAGCTGACCGTACTTGGCGTCAGCACTACATGAGTTAATTTGTCTGCCTTGTTTCTCTGAATAACCTACATGTTTCTGTTCAGATTTGCCATTTCATTATCCTGTCAAGTTGTCAAGTCCACTGGACGTGTTGATACGTTCCTTTGCAATAGTTAATGATACCATGGATACTGGTATAGGACAGTATTTCACCTGCTGTACATTGCTCATGATTCAGTAAGGGCCAGTGATGTTCCATATATATATGTGACTTGTCCTATATACAGACAAAGATCTGGATGCTTCCAGACACACAGAATATTATAGAATTTTCTAGCCACATATTTTTGTGTATATAAGGGGAGCTAGCTTTTGCCATATCTCACATATCTCACCTGACGACCAGCATTGTATGTGGTGAAAATATACCCTGCCCACGCCTATATAGGTACAAGTCGGTTTACTGTTGCCGAGAAGTGAATAATATTGCTATATACACTGTTGCTGTATAATACTGCCTCCGAATTTGTACCGCCATTCCTTTTTGTACTGTCATAGTGATGCCTTTGTACTGATTTATTAACTTAATTTTAGAATACAACTACGGCTTACGTCGTGTACATATGCTATTATCTTACCTCACACATAAATGACGCTTTCTGATTGGCTGAGCGCTCTTCTATTATTTTCAATGTACCCCGCTTACACGCGTGTAACATTTCAATGTACCCCGCTATAAATAGCAACTCATTTGGTACTTCGTGGTAGTAATTCTTTATCTCGAATAACATTGAATCACGTAATGGTGTACGGAAATTACCGATGTTTTGCGAATGCAAATCGATGAAAGGGAGATAACTCTAAATCTGTATATCTTGTCAGCAAAATCTAGCGACATCGAGGGTACAGCAACATCAACATCAACATCAATATACCACGTGTCACTCCTGACCAAGTCATCACTTAAACATGACTTACTGGACCAGATGTCTACACTTAAACATGACTTACTGGACAAGATGTCTTCACTTAAACATGACTTACTGGACAAGATTTCTACAGTTAAACACGGCTACAGAAACATAACAGTTGTAGAACAGATATGCTATAATATTCAACATATATACACATTTGTATGAAAAACAAAATATATTATGTAACACACATGTATGTATATACCCGTAGGCTAAATGTATGAGTGAGGTCATACTTTTACAGCTTATATATTAACATTTATATCACATCCACTTTATATTACATGTACATGTATAACACACATATAAACACATATATCAATGTTATCATACAATGGATAGTGTTCTCGGCAGGATAAAGCCAACGGATATTTTCGGGGTCATATACGGATATCGATGCAAATTAGAGAGGTCATATGCAAATTTTAGGGACTACTTTCACAGTGTAAACAAACATGGCGTCAATGGTCGGCGGTTGTGTCCGGATTGACGGCCGTGGTTACGGTACTGTCAGTGCCTTGATCCCAGAAAATTCATGTCTGGTTATGATAGATGGAGTAGATTATAAAGCGAAGATAGAAATTCATAGGTTTACGAAGATACCAACATCGACCGCCTGTCAGTGTTAGCGAGAGAACGGCACTAGGAATCCAGATGCCAAATGTCACGAGAACATTAAAGTGTATTTGCTGTTCAAAAGGTTAACTCAAGGTTTCTGAATTTCCACGTGAGTTTGTTGTTATTTTCTAAACGTAAGCTAAGATTTGTTGACAACAATACGTACTTTAACATAACAACTGACAGGAACTAGATGACGTAACGCAGTCAAATGAGTGATCAGTAGAATATTGCGTCACCAATCTTGTGACGTCACGTATTACTACGCACATATTTGTGACGTCATAGATATGTGGACACATTCCACGAAGTTTAGTTTCATGATTTGTGGCAAATGAAATTGCATTTTTTTTAAATTATAAAGTAAGAATGACATTGTATGATGAAAAGGTTACCACACTCGTGTGTTTTGGGATGGTTAATATCCTGCATCATGAATAAACACTATATGTATTTAGCTCGCCAAGGCTCGCTAAATACAATGTTTATTCCTAATGCAGGATATTAACCATCCCAAAACACACTCGCGTGATAACCTATATATATAAACGGCAAATGTTAATGGTATGATATGCCTTCTGAAATACATTAGAAATGGAATTAAACATGTAGTATTTATGGTGTATACTCAACAACATAATAATATAATATCACTCGTTATAAATAAGCTTGACACATAAACCTTAGAGTCAACATTGTATTGTCAAGTGGCTCTAGCCTTTATGTGGTTGGTACAAATCCATTTCATACCCGGCGTTATATCTACCCTTGTCTATAGACACGTTGCTGTACTGCCCAGCGTCCATGTAGTGGTGATCCTTGTCACTGTCAGCTCGAGGCAAACCACGCCTAGTCAGGAGCAATACGCACAGACCCACTCCAGCCACTGCGGCCACGCACCCGCACACAATGGACGCTATGATGGCCGGTTTCATAGCATGATGCTCTTCAGATGTTGGGGCTGTTGCGCTAGGAAGTCCTCCAGACGTTGAGGCTGTTGCGCCAGGAAGACCTCCAGATGTTGAGGTTGTTGCGCCAGGAAGACGTCCAGATGTTGAGGCTGTTGAGCCCGGAAGACCTCCAGAGGTTGAGACTGTTGAGCCAGGAAGCCCTCCAGACGATGAGGCTGTTGAGCCCGGAAGACCTCCAGATGCTGAGGCCGTTGAACCGTGAAGCTCTCCAGATGTTGAAGCTGTTGGGCCAGGAAACCCTCCAGACGTTGAGTCCGTTGAGTCAGGAAGCTCTCCAGATGTTGAAGATGTTGAACCGGGAAGCTCTCCAGACGTTGAAGCTGTTGAACCGGGAAGCTCTCCAGATGTTGAAGATGTTGAGCCAGGAAGCCCTCCAGACGTTGAGTCCGTTGAGTCAGGAAGCTCTCCAGATGTTGAAGATGTTGAACCGGGAAGCTCTCCAGACGTTGAAGCTGTTGAACCGGGAAGCTCTCCAGACGTTGAAGATGTTGAACCGGGAAGCTCTCCAGACGTTGAGGCCGTTGAACCGGGAAGCTCTCCAGACGTTGAAGATGTTGAGCCAAGAAGCCCTCCAGACGTTGAGGCCGTTGAGGCCGTTGAGCCAGGAAACCCTCCAGATGCTGAGGCTGTTGAGCCCGGAAACGTTTTAGACGTGGAGGCTATAAAGCCTGGAAGCCCTTTAGACGTGGGGGATGATGTGTAATCCGGAAGTTGGGTGGACACAGATCTTCCTGTGGATGTGTCAGCTGTAGACACAGATGTCACAGTAGTTGGTTCTCTGCTTCTGACTATCGATGTAGTCACATCTTTGCTAACGACGGAGATAGCAGCTTTTGTAGGTGGCGCTGTGTCTTTGTTTATACTCGTAGAAATCTTGCTTGCAGATATTACGCTCTCAGTTGCTCCTGAATATATGAAGACAGGCGTGCTGACGAAGTCGGATATCCCCGATGGGCCCGTCACAGTCAACACGACGTCCCTGGAACAACGTGACGCAGGAATAAGAGGTAGGTACATATGCAGCAGCTACAGATCACAAACAAACAGGATGGCTGAACTGGGCTTAATAACTTCAGTTTCAGGATAGCATACATCAGGTCGATGTCATAGGGGACCTTAAGTGGCACGGGTGTGAAGCTGGCAAGCCGAGGAGTACAAGCAGTAAGCACGGCCAAAGATCATAGGATTCTGGTAAAAGTAAGGCATGAAACTAATCACAACGAATCGAAACGAATTTATGTCGATATAAATATAGGTAAATGTAGTCGATGTCCAGCTGGCTACTAACCCTGCGGTAGATGGCGCTGCCATATTGGCTGTAACGGTCACAGTCCCTGTGTAGGTGTGGCCTTTCGGTATGGTGAAGACGTTGGGCTTCACGACAGGATTCATAACCTAAGAGCAATGGTAGATGTTTGTCACCAAGGAACATTTAAGCAATGGAAAATATGTGTCCGGCAGAATATTTGTTCAAACTGCAAACGATTTACCGATATTAGGAGAACAAAATTCGGAAGTGTATTAGTGATCAAAACTCTGCTCCAGATGTAAAAACGAAGTGCCAACTACAACATAATAGCAGAGGTTTGTTAACTGAATAAATCATGGTAGTACAAATCATTAGCCAAATTAAGCCACCTCGTGTCATGTCTGTATTTCAATGGTAGGTATTCTATTATTTATTTCCACTGACAGACTAGGGTGCTTTGGTTTGACACGTTGAGCAGGACGCTTCATCGCCTGGCGCTGTCGGTTACTGACCATCTGCAGTTACACATTGAAGAGAAACTTATTTAGATGTCTGGCGTCCGTATGGGGATCTTGTATACACACCGTGTTTATTGATGTAACTCTGACACTGAACGGTCCAGTAGCCCCGTGATTGGTCACAACAAAGGGAAGGCGTACACAGTCCGTGGCCACGGTTGACGACTCCCCTGTAGAAGTAGACGTCACAAATAACGTCATTAATGCAGTAATGGTGATGACGATGCTTCAAACCCCAGGTATGTTGATGATCCAATATCGTTCAATAACCACTTCGCTTCCACGCTACTAACCGAATTGGGAATATGGTAGACCAGTGAGAGCGCCCCTTCTGTTTCGAATCTATGCTTTGGGTTTCGTTGTGACGAAATATTCGACACAAGTTCATATAACAAGAGGCATGACCAACACACTTTCCCGTTATTTCAAGCTTTATGTTTTGTGAGGACATGTGGAGGACACAAACGCACAGTTGACTTAACTTCTGACAGTGGTTTCCCATGGGTTTGGAAAGGGATTTGTCATATTTCTTTATTACCATCATTATTATTATTTACAGTTCAGTGTCCCAGACTCTTCTATACACCCAGACAGAAATGCTGCCGAACCTACCTAGAACCTTATCGAGAATGTGACGAGACGCGGGGACCTTCCCAGTGCCAGTCAACAGAATGTGACGAGACGCGGGGACCTTCCCAGTGCCACTCAACAGAATGTGACGGGACGCGGGGACCTTCCCAGTGCCAGTCAACAGAATTGGAGGAACCAAACCCGAGGCACCGAGAATAACGGGGAGGAGGAAAACGTGGCATTTGTAAGAAACAACATTGTCACAAGGGACAGAAAATTCAATCACAATTCACTGGATTTACCAAAAGCTACAAGGTTTGCTGCTTTTATATGTCTTCTGCTGTTTTCGAGCCTGTTCTAAGGAATTATCATTATCATTCTTCACGGCGACCTCCATGTATGCTGTCAAGATCGCATGGCGAAGGCAGTAATATAAGGATCGAGCCAGGCCACCATGTCGGTTATGATGCTGTGTTTGTGCCGACTGAGGGCATCCACTGACAAGGTGTTGGACACTGGACAGTCTCATAATCTACATTTCACATTTACACTTTTATGCAAAATCATACACTGACGGTTCTAATATCATCACTATTAATTGTTTGTTATTACTAAGCGACAGTGATTTGTTTAAGAATAGGTTAAGTGCATGATTCACATAGAGACTCGGTGAACAGCACGGCGCTCTTACAGAGACCAGTTTAACACCGTGACAACTTTAAAGACCAGTTTAACATCGTGACAACTTAATAACCAGTTTAACATCGTGACAACTTAAGACCAGTTTAACATCGTGACAACTTAAGACCAGTTAAACACCGTGACAACTTTAAAGACCAGTTTAACATCGTGACAACTTAAAGACCAGTTTAACATCGTGACAACTTTAAAGACCAGTTTAACATCGTGACAACTTAAAGACCAGTTAAACACCGTGACAACTTTAAAGACCAGTTTAACATCGTGACAACTTAAAGACCAGTTTAACATCGTGACAACTTTAAAGACCAGTTTAACATCGTGACAACTTAACAACCAGTTTAACATCGTGACAACTTAAGACCAGTTAAACACCGTGACAACTTTAAAGACCAGTTTAACATCGTGACAACTTAACAACCAGTTTAACATCGTGACAACTTAAGACCAGTTAAACACCGTGACAACTTTAAAGACCAGTTTAACATCGTGACAACTTAAAAACCAGTTTAACATCGTGACAACTTAAGACCAGTTTAACATCGTGACAACTTAAGACCAGTTAAACACCGTGACAACTTTAAAGACCAGTTTAACATCGTGACAACTTAAAGACCAGTTTAACATCGTGACAACTTTAAAGACCAGTTTAACATCGTGACAACTTAACAACCAGTTTAACACCGTGACAACTTAAAGACCAGTTTAACACCGTGACAACTTTAAAGACCAGTTAAACACCGTGACAACTTAAGACCAGTTTAACACCGTGACAACTTAAAGACCAGTTTAACATCGTGACAACTTAAAGACCAGTTTAACATCGTGAAAGATAAGGTGAACAGTACCCGTGAAGATACGGGTTAGAATTGGTCTTCAGTAACCCATGCTTGTCTTAACAGGCGACAAACGGGATCGGGTGGTCATGTTCGCTGACTTGGTTGACACATGTCATCGTATCCAGATTGCGTAGAACGATGTACATGGCGTTGATTACTGGATAGTCTGGTCCAGACTCAAATGTTTACAGACCGCCGCCATATAGCTGGAATATTGTTGAGAGCGGCGTTTAAGAACAAACCAACCAACCAGGTGAACAGAGTGACTATTTTAAAGATGAATAATATGTATATGTATGCCTCGATGGCTCGCCTTTCATCAACCTGGTTACCTGCCGTCATGTTGAAGGTGACCGTGAACTCTGATTCCGGAGATACAGCCGCCTGTAGTACCCGTGTGAACCTGTGTCCATGGAGATCTGATCCTGATATTCCGAGTCTCAAATCCTGTGGGTTGAATACAGTAAACAAATCATAAACATGACACGTGTTACGTAACCAAGTGTAATAATAATCATGTACATCATCAACATCTCAGACAGCGAGGTGGGTTTATCGATGTGTCAGCCTTTGTAAACGTGTACAATTTCGTAACACCAAGAATAAGAATAGTGAACTCATGATAATGTGTCACAGCTGATCAGATCCACTTGGCTGATCTCACCAAGGGCATATAATCAACAATCAGTATTTTAGTTTCAGAAAATGTACATCATTGCCACACAAAAACTAAATGAGCTTAGTGCACGTACCTGTGATGGCAGGGTAATTACTGCCTTATAGAGGGCACCCCTTCGCCCCACATGTGTCAGAACTGCAGATTTGATGACGTCACCATTCAGTGTATACAACGTCACACTCGTGATATTCTGTGTTTTGTCAGCACCATTAACTTCTATTGCCAGAGTTAGATTTGTCCCTGAAGACAGACAAATGTGAAAATGTTGTTCACCAACACCATCTTGTCATGCGGAAAATATACCTCAATAACATGATTCAAATGCTCACGATACAGAACCGTGACGACCACGCACCTGCAGGGGGATTTCCGGGGACAGAAATGTCGTAGCCTGTGACTGGATTCACCTTCATGAACTGGGACTGAAAACTGACGTCACTGTTCCCTTTGACGATGACGTCATATTGCAGCTTGTCGCTGAAGCGAAGTGTCCAGTTACCTAAGCGAAAGAGAGTTGGATTAGATGCGCCAATGGGCACGAGTGACATATAACAATGATACTTTGGGCTTTCCTCCCAGAATAATCAGACACACAGGTTAGAACATGTTGATACTCACACTTTAATGTGTTGTGAAGATATTTCACTGTCCTACCTGGGTTGGGCTTGACTATCTTGTACACAAGTGCCCCAGCACTGTCTACAGCCAGTTTGTCGTTTGTTACCGTCACTCCTGGAACAGAAGATTGCGCCATAGTTTCAGTGACTGAACTCCCCACTTGAGTAACTTGACAGAAACACCAACGTGAACATAACCTTTCATAATAATGTCCACTTTCCCTGCATACACACTGCCATCATCAACATGCAGCTGCCCAGAAGATTAGGAAATATCTGGTGAATTGTTGACTGGCCAGCGTTAAACATTTGGTGCGTTGTCATTGACCAATGATACCCTCTATCCAGAGAGCCAAAACACTGACCTGTAGAATCTGAGAGTTGGATGGCTGACTTGGTGACGTGACCCGTGACCTCCACAAGAATCAACGTAAGGGCAGAGTCCACGCTGAAAGTCACGTCACGTGAAGTTGCAGCGTTTACATGGGTCACCATGACTACCACAGGCGATGCCTGAAAGGGGCAAATAATGAATATTAATTCAGCAGACTTGGCTTTTCTTGTAGCAAATGCACTTGGTTAAGCCGTCCTTTCTGGAATTCCAAAGCACAATACGTTGCCCACATCCATTCTTTCCCCTTCCTTGAACTGTGATGTAAGGGTATGGACTGCAGGTGTCCTCCTGCTGCCATGTTGGAGGTATGTTCCACATCTGTCACGTTACCGTCAATCTTAAATCTTCTACTTCTCATATTTATCTACACACCACGCAGAACGGTTTCAACCACTCACATCTACACACTCACCAGAGATGTTATACTGGTGGCTTGGTCTACAAATATTGGGTTACCGTCAACTTTAGATCTCCCTCCTCGTCCAAATCCCACCTACAAATCCACCAGAGCTGCTTAAGCCACTGTAATACTGGAGGCTTGGTCTACATCTGTCTTGGTATCATCAACCTTACATTCTCTCCTCCTCCTCCCAATTTCATCTCCACACCCCAATTCCATCTCCACACCCACCAGAGCTGCTTCAGCCACTGTAATACTGGAGGCGTGGTCTACATCTGTCTTGGTATCATCAACCTTACATTCTCTCCTCCTCCCCCAAATTCCATCTCCACACCCACCAGAGCTGCTTCAGCCACTGTAATCCTGGAGGCGTGGTCTACATCTGTCTTGGTATCATCAACCTTACATTCTCTCCTCCTCCTCCAAATACCATCTCCACACCCACCAGAGCTGCTTCAGCCACTGTAATACTGGAGGCGTGGTCTACATCTGTCTTGGTATCATCAACCTTACATTCTCTCCTCCTCCTCCCTCCTCCCAGAGCCACCAGCTGTCTATACATCTTCTCCTCACACCCACCAGAGCTGCTTCAGCCACTGTAATACTGAGGCGTGGTCTATCTCTGTCTTGGTATCATCAACCTTACATTCTCTCCTCCTCCCCCAATACCATCTACACACCCACCCACCAGAGCTGCTTCAGCCACTGTAATACTGGAGGCGTGGTCTACATCTGTCTTGGTATCATCAACCTTACATTCTCTCCTCCTCCCCCAATTACCATCTCCACACACCCACCAGAGCTGCTTCAGCCACTGTAATACTGGAGGCGTGGTCTACATCTGTCTTGGTATCATCAACCTTACATTCTCTCCTCCTCCTCCCAATACCATCTACAAACCCACCAGAGCTGCTTCAGCCACTGTAATACTGGAGGCGTGGTCTACATCTGTCTTGGTATCATCAACCTTACATTCTCTACCTCCTCTTGGTATCCCCATTCTCTCCTCCTCCTCCCAATTCCATCTCCCACACCCACCAGAGTGCTACTTCAGCCACTGTAATACTGGAGGCGTGGTCTATGTCTGTCTCTGGTATCATCAACCTTTACATTCTCTCCTCCTCCCTCCCAATACCATCTCCACACCCACCAGTCTACTTCAGCCACTGTAATACCCAATTCCATTCTCTCCTCCTCCTCCCCTCATCTACAAACTCCACCAGAGCTGCTTCAGCCTCTACACACCCACCAGCATTCTCTCCTCCCTCCTCCCAATTCCATCTACACACCCACCAGCTGCTTCAGCCACTGTAATACTGGAGGCGTGGTCTATGTCTGTCTTGGTATCATCAACCTTACATTCTCTCCTCCTCCTCCCAATACCATCTACACACCCACCAGAGCTGCTTCAGCCACTGTAATACTGGAGGCGTGGTCTATGTCTGTCTTGGTATCATCAACCTTCACACTTTACTCTCCTCCTTCTCCCAATTCCATCTACACACCCACCAGAGCTGCTTCAGCCACTGTAATACTGGAGGCGTGGTCTACATCTGTCTTGGTATCATCAACCTTACATTCTCTCCTCCTTCTCCCAATCCTCCCATCTCTACACACCCACCAGAGCTGCTTCAGCCACTGTAATACTGGAGGCGTGGTCTACATCTGTCTTGGTATCATCAACCTTACATTCTCTCCTCCTCCTCCCAATTCCATCTCCACACCCACCAGAGCTGCTTCAGCCACTGTAATACTGGAGGCGTGGTCTACATCTGTCTTGGTATCATCAACCTTACATTCTCTCCTCCTCCTCCCAATACCATCTCCACACCCACCAGAGCTGCTTCAGCCACTGTAATACTGGAGGTGTGGTCTACATCTGTCTTGGTATCATCAACCTTACATTCTCTCCTCCTCCTCCCAATCCCATCTACAAACCCACCAGAGCTGCTTCAGCCACTGTAATCCTGGAGGCGTGGTCTACATCTGTCTTGGTATCATCAACCTTACATTCTCTCCTCCTCCCCCCAATACCATCTCCACACCCACCAGAGCTGCTTCAGCCACTGTAATACTGGAGGCGTGGTCTACATCTGTCTTGGTATCATCAACCTTATATTCCCTCCTCCCAATACCATCTACAAACCCACCAGAGTTACTTCAGCCACTGTAATACTGGAGGCGTGGTCTACATCTGTCTTGGTATCATCAACCTTATATTCCCTCCTCCCAATACCATCTACAAACCCACCAGAGTTACTTCAGCCACTGTAATACTGGAGGCGTGGTCTACATCTGTCTTGGTATCATCAACCTTACATTCTCTCCTCCTTCTCCCAATACCATTAACAAACCCACCAGAGCTGCTTCAGCCACTGTAATACTGGAGGCGTGGTCTACATCAGTTTTGGTATCATCAACCTTACATTCTCTCCTCCTCCTAATCCCATCTACAAACCCACCAGAGTTACTTCAGCCACTGTAATACTGGAGGCGTGGTCTACATCTGTCTTGGTATCATCAACCTTACATTCCCTCCTCCCAATACCATCTACAAACCCACCAGAGTTACTTCAGCCACTGTAATACTGGAGGCGTGGTCTACATCTGTCTTGGTATCATCAACCTTACATTCTCTCCTCCTCCTCCCAATACCATCTCCACACCCACCAGAGCTGCTTCAGCCACTGTAATACTGGAGGCGTGGTCTACATCTGTCTTGGTATCATCAACCTTACATTCTCTCCTCCTCCCAATACCATCTCCACACCCACCAGAGCTGCTTCAGCCACTGTAATACTGGAGGCGTGGTCTACATCTGTCTTGGTATCATCAACCTTACATTTCCCCTCCTCCCAATACCATCTACAAACCCACCAGAGTTACTTCAGCCACTGTAATACTGGAGGCGTGGTCTACATCTGTCTTGGTATCATCAACCTTACATTCTCTCCTCCTCCTCCCAATACCATCTCCACACCCACCAGAGCTGCTTCAGCCACTGTAATACTGGAGGCGTGGTCTACATCTGTCTTGGTATCATCAACCTTACATTCTCTCCTCCTCCTCCCAATACCATCTACAAACCCACCAGAGCTGCTTCAGCCACTGTAATACTGGAGGCGTGGTCTACATCTGTCTTGTTGCTGCCAATCACAGATCCACCACTCAGAGCTGCTAGGTGAGAGTATATATCAAGACCTGGAAAGATAGTTAAGGATACGGCAATCAATAACGAACCAAAGTAGCCATGTTGTGGAAAGAGTAAAAGCCCAAATTTTCCATTCAAAGTTTATCTTTCTTGGGATGAACGTGGCCATGGAATGGTCGCAAAACAGTTTCCAGAAAACAAAAATG